TAGATTAAACCACCAATTAATAGTGCACCAAATTAAACAGGGAACTACCAAAAATCCAAGTGAAAAATTTAGAAAGCGTAAATTTCGAATTCAGCGATTCGGAGCGATCGCGGGAATCGTCCACCGTCCAGGCACACAGCAAAGTGGCTAATTCAATCCGAGAAAATTTGTGAACCAGCTTGGAAAATATCTCTACGGCAAAGCTGCCGCCCACGGGGCAAAGTCAGTGCAGACACGTGGAAATACGGATTACGCAACCGCTACATCTTCAGTCGCCAAGAACGAGCTACCCTTCTACGCCTCCGACTACACGAGATTATAGGCAATTGTAGCGATTAGCTAGATTCACCCCTATAAGGAACCCTTTCCCTTGCCCGGCCTCAAAAGAAAAACAGGTGCAGGTTGACAAGTGCCCTAAAACGTATTGCAGCTCCATATCTGAATTCAAATACCTGCTCAAATTCATACATCTGCTTTGATTCTCGTTCCGTGGAACTCTTGTCTTAAGTTTCCACACTGCCGCAGTTTGATCAACTTCGTTGCGATTAAAATTTGTTGAAATTATAAAAGAAAACCTACTTAAAGTAGCTTATATTTGTTTATTGCCATGTATTAATATAATTTGTTTTGATTATGATTAACTACATAATTATCTATAACTAAAATCTATAAGTACAGTGAGCAATATGAATTTTGGAAGCTTGGAATATGTCTCTTTATATATATGCTCGCAGGGTCTGTAGCCCGCAGCTTCGCCTGTGGAAATTAAAATGGAAATTAAGCATTGCTTTATCTTTGGTACTTATTTTAAATTTAAAAAATTCCTCATTTTTATTCTATAAACCGAGAAAAGATTTTATCAGAACTTTTTCTCTTGATATCCGTAAAAACAAAAATATTTTGTCCTCTGAAAACTACTTAAAAAAACATGTGTCTTTTTTAAATCTTTTTAAAATTATTATGGATTGTTTGCATAAGTTAACAGATGGACCAAACAGAAACAAACAGATTCCTTTTTCGACACAAATCCTTACACTAATTTCATTCAAAACATTAGTATTTTGTCCAAAATATATTATTTAAATATAGAATGTCATACTGCGTTGAGCATGTAATTAAATTCCCAATCCATTGTCATTAAAGCCTAGAAACATTATTTGAAAAAAAATTGTTTAAGAAAAAAATAGATAGGATACGAACTTGATTAAATTTACATGTTAAAAATATTAAACTCTTTTTCAATTTCGGAGAGTTTTGACTATTGCTGTCCCGCTCTTACCCAGATAAATTTATGCATTTTTTTGTATGAATTAAGAGTGCAAAAATATGAATTTCAAAGCAGTACTTTATCGAAAACAAAGCAAAAAACTGCCAAAATATGGATTATCACGCCGCGTTAAGTATGTATATCAATTCCAAATCGATTAGCGTTTAACTCTGGAAAAAAAACTTGTATTCTTAAAAAAATTGCTAAAAGTTTTACATAGCTCTCCAACAACCAATATAATAGTTTTGATTAAGATTTAAAAAATTTGAGGGAATATTTTTAATTTAAGTTCGCCTTGAAATGTTACAACCGCTTCAAAATGTGATGGGATGTTTATCCTTCGACAGTTAAAAAAAATTAATGTCTCCAATTCTTATTTTAAAAAATTAATGTCAGAGATAGGATAATTTTAGGCTTATTTTTATTTCATCGGTCCCTTAAAACAAATCCTGTTGATATTGGCCTTGCTACCTCGTTCTACATTTTCTACTTCTATTTTCTATTTTTTGTTTTTTAAAGATGCAATTTTTAAACTATTTATTTAAACTATTACAAACCAAATACTCTAGGCGAATTTGCTACCGGGGGGTTTTTGGAAGGTATCCACAGTAGACAAATAAGGGAAACAAATATGCGGAGCAATGTTTTGCTTTATGTATTTGACTAATTTAAGAAAAGACATCAAGAAAGGCAATTCCAAATTACTGCATTTTATCATTGATATTTTGTTTCAGTATTTTTGTTTTCACATTAATTTTTCACCTTGATTAGAATTATATTAATAATAGGGAAGGCAGGTGGGCGGGGAAGCCGTGAATCAAATTGTTTAAACATTTGAATTTGTTTAAACAATATGAGCACGTGTAATAAAGAGCAAGAGAATCAATTGGTTTGAATATTTAATGTTCTTTTAATATTATCAATGCGATTTGAATTTTAGTTCACAAAAATCGGTTACAAAATGTCTTATGTAAGTATGTTGTGGAAATGTAAATGAAATATTCTTTTAGCAAAATGATATCAGTATTATCTTGAATTTGAATTTGAGCGAATCTCAATTCCCTAGTCAGCTGCAATGCACACACACAAACGTACACACGCATATACATATGTATCTAATGGCTGTGTGTGTAAAATACGCATTTTTTTGATATATTTACATAGCAAGCAAATCATTGTTTGTTTTTGTTTTTACAAATCCAAAGTTTGTCGATAACTCAACATTTGAAAACTAATAAATAGTTTGCTGATCGGTCTTTTGCATTTAAAAAAACAGAAGCAATTTTAAGGAAAATTTCGACTGTAAAATTCAGCTTAATGGGATTTCTGTAAGGTCTCCCATATTTTAAAATTTAACGTTTACTTAAGATTTGCGATATAATCGATTTTTTTTGGCTGTGGTATTTTTATTTTCCCCTTGCGCGGTCACACATAAATTGCGACAGCAGGACATACATATGTACATACATACATGCGCCAGCAGAACATACATACAAACATATGGGGACGCGTGACGTCACATCAGGTTAGCCAAATTTGAAAATATTGGGGACTTGGTTAAGGACGCTGAATCTCCAAGAAATTTAAATGCAGTTATTTGCGGGTATGCCATAAGATTATGAACATCACATTTTTAAAACATTTTAACAACATTTATAACAGAGAAATGGCAAAAGAAAGAATTAAAAAAAAAACAAATCGAATTTTGGGGCACTTTCGGGTCGTTTTTTGTTCTAAAAAGTACCCCTTACGCGGCTCCTAATTATTATAGTAATTACTGTGATTTTTCTAGATTTTTAAATCAATCCGTTCTGGGTGGAATTTGCTACTGACCGTTTTTTAATCAAGACATATATTGATATAGATACCTTAAACTCTGAAACGTCTACGATTATACAGAGCATATACATAAGCATCGGAATCATCTTGGGCCCAACGATACATCGATGCTTATGATTTAAACGTCTGTGAGTATTACAATACAAGAATGCATGCTTACTTCTTGTAATACACCAATTATATATATATATATTGATTTGAAACTATATATTCCACCACAAGCCCCAAGTAATTATTTACCAATTGAAAACAACAAGTGAAGAAAGGTATATAGGTGATAAATGTTAAATGTAAGAATAATTCTTACTCTTTTGTTTTGTTATTGAATATCGAAATTAAAATGGAATCTCTGTACATAATTGTGAAAATGATCATGATGGCTTTGTAACGAAGTTCTCTGGCCGGGGTGAGTCTCAGTCGTGCCAGAGATCCTTACAAGAAATTTGTAATCTATAGGAGACTTGCTTTAAAAAGGAAATCGTAGGCGAGGGTTCTTGGATCGGGTAAGTCGCGATTGCTGGGACCGCGACGCAGAAAATGGCAGGCTTTGCGTGGTTAATCAGAGGATAAGGGGAAGGGGAAAACACGCGTGGTGCTCCCGCGTACTTGTGCGACTCCTGATTATGAGACGCCTATATCTGGCAAGGATCCGGCGTTCTCTGGGAGTACCAGGTATTACCGTAGCCACGCCTGAAAGGGAGGGAAAAAAGGGGGGGGGGATGTGCTTCCAACAGGGGCACGCCGGCGTTCTCTGGGAGTACCAGGTATTACCGTAGCCACGCCTGAAGGGGGAGGAAAAGGGGGGGGATGTGTTTCCAACAGGGGCACGCCTGCGTTCTCTGGGAGTACCAGGTATTACCGTAGCCACGCCTGAAGTGGGAGGAAAGGGGGGGGATGTGTTTCCAACAGGGGCACGCCGGCGTTCTCTGGGAGTACCAGGTATTACCGTAGCCACGCCTGAAGTATCACTAACTACGGGTTCAGGAAGGATTAGGGTTACTTTTCAAAGAACTACTTTGTTATCGAATATACGCAGGTGGGTTATAATTCAGAAGTTTCACTTTATTTCCTTATCCTGTCTTATTTCCCTGCTGCTGCACCGAGTTCTTAGGATATAAGTCACACGCGTTGATTCACAAGTTATTTTACCCAGTTGTGGAGCACACGTCTGCTTCCTTCAGCGGTCCGGAACCAAGAGAGCGAATGATTTCGATTGATCCTGAACATCAACTCAATTTGGGTTGCCACCCGTCGAAATATCGAGCAATGTCGGTCATCGACTCATGGTTTCGTTGCCACTCGCCGAAATATCGAGCGGGGCTGACCATCGATAGTCAATCTGGCCACCTGGTGGTTTGATCGCGTAGCGATCTGGCAAAGTCTTGCGATCTGGCAACGTTGTTTAGTGCGCGCTTAGGTTTAAATTTAATTTTGTTAACCGATAATACTTCAGGGATTTCTCTTAAACCTAATAACAAGATACTTCATGGCGTCTTATAGATAAACTTAAACAATAAGGTACAAAAGTTAGAAAATAAAAATGTGTGCCTCGTGAAGCGATGCGTCACACCCCCTTCCTACTTCGGGGGGTCGAAAAGGATCCGAACGGTGCCGTTTGTCTTGCTGGTGACCCTATAATTTCCCTCGATGCGTTGGAGTCGGTAGCGTTGACGAGATCTGGCCTGTAGCGCTCGGGCTTCGATGGTCTCTATGACGCTAGCGGGGATTTTCCCATCGGGAGTGTCGCAGGTCCAGTTTGTTGGCGGATCTAGCCGGATGTCGGCAGCGCATTGGTCCGTGTCCTGCGGACCCCAAGCCGCTTGCCCGTTCCCGTCGGGTAGCCAGTCCAGGACCATGCTCTCGACTTCTGGGGGAAGTTCTGCCATCAAGGCATTCATGGCCTCATCTGAGATCTCCAACTCCGGGGCGTTGGCGCTAGTGTCCGACGGAGTCCGCTCACGGACTCCTTTTCTATGGCGCTTACTGCCTTCTCCCGTCGAGATGGGTTGGCCCGCTTCCTCCTCCGGCTACGTCGGCATATAGCCCCATGGTCATCGTCTGAATTACTCGATTGTGACGACCAGTCCAGGCACTTTCCGCTAGCCGTGTCCGACGATAGGCTATGGCCCAGATAGCGTACAGCGTCATAATCGGGGTATGTCCCCTCCGCCCGAATCATTCGAATAGCAGCTGGTATTGCTTGTACTCCAGCGTGAAGTGTGGCGCTGGAAGCTGCGTGAGTCAGGCCGATGGCGGTGTCCAGAACGGAGAGGGCGCGCTCTGACGGATGCGGCTGGCTGACTGCTGACGTTCCGGCGGTGGGCAACGCGGCATGAGTGTCCTTCGAGGAGAGCGTCAGATCTAGGGCGACGTCAGAAGCGGAGTATGCGCGCTCTGACGGGTGCGGATGGCTGATGGTGGCGTCGGGAGCGGAGTGGACGCGCTCCGACGGATGCGGATGGCTGATGGCGACGTCGGGAGCGGAGTGGACGCGCTCCGACGGATGCGGGTGGCTGATGGCGGCGTCGGGAGCGGAGTGGGCGCGCTCTGACGGATGCGGCTGGCTGTTGGCTGATGCTTCCGGTGGGTTTGTCAGGTCGATAGCTGCCTCGTCATCGTCCGTATCTGGACCCATGAGAGCAGGGTATGGTTCTGGCGAGGTTGGGAACTCTATGATCGGATCCTCGGTTGGCTGGAAAGGCATCCGTATCCAGCATGAGGAATACTGCACCTGCAGCAGCTGTTGCCAGTGGCTGTGTCGGACAACGTGTCTCTCGGTGCTCTTGAAGAATAAGTGCGGAACGCCTCCGTACCCAGTCCTGCCGTCGTAGCCACCAGTGGCCCCCTCGTTGTCAGACTGGGTACCGTCGCTGTCATCCTCCACGTATGCTTCCGGGGATGGTGCATAGCGTGGGCTGGCAGGACGCCTAGGGCGGCGGGTGTCCTCGTCGTCTTCGTTGTCGCTGTCATCCTCCAGGTACGCTTCTGGGGATGATGCATAGCGTGGGCTGGCAGGTCGCCTAGAGCGGCGGGTGTCCTCGTCATCTTCGTTGTCGCTGTCATCCCCCAGGTTCGCTTCTGGGGATGATGCATAGCGTGGGCTGGCAGGACGCCTAGAGCGGCGGGTGTCCTCGTCATCTTCGTCCGATTCGCTGGCCGGCGGTGCATTCGCCGGTGTTCGGCGGGGGTAGCCCGTTCCAGGGCGCATGCGTGGATCTCGGGACGGGGCAGCCTTTGGTGACGGAGCTCGTGGCAGAGTCGCGTCGCTGTCGCTATCGCTGCAAAGATTTACAATCTCTTGTTCCATGGTGACTTCCTGCAGGATATTTATAATTAGGGCTTATTTAACTTAAGATATGTTTAGAGATCTAGGTATATTAGAAGTAATCTTAGAGTTGGGCAGCAGCTTACAAATCTCCTATCAGTGAATCAGGACTTATATGCTAACAATGGTTGTTTACAAAGTTTTGTTGGTTTATTCTTATAATCACCCCTCGTTGATACTTGGCGCCGTGGTTCCCTCTGCTTCGGCTGGAACTGGAATGCACGGGCTTTCTGCGTCTTCGTGGTCATCATCATCGAATTCGCTGTTTCCTGGGGAGAATGGAGAATGGAAGGCTTTTAAATCTGCTATATTGGCTAATCGCCCTTTTCGTTTGCCGGGGAGGCGTAACCGCACGATATTGGGAGAGGTGAAGGCCACAACTTTATATGGTCCATCAAACTTGGGTGCTAGCTTAGCCGCAAACCCCTCGGACGCCTTGGAGAGGTGGTGTTGTCGCACCAACACCAAGGAACCCATGGTCGGACGCCACTCCCTGCGGCGAAGGTTGTATTGGCGACCCTGATCTTTACTGGCTCTCTGTATGTTCCCCTGGACGATACGGTATATCTCTCTAAGGTGCTCGGCTTTCTCCGTAGCTGTCTGTGGCATGGTTCCCGTTCCCGGGGTGACTTGATCGTACCAGGCTTTAGGTAACCGCGGTTCTCTGCCTTGTAGCAGGAATGCCGGGCTATATCCCGTCGAGTCGGAAACACTAGAGTTCAACGCAAGTGTGAGCTCTGGAAGGAGGGTGTCCCATGTGTTCTGTTGGTCACCTAGATACTGCGAGATCATTGTCTTAATAGTTCGGTTCGCCCTTTCGGTTGGGTTTTCACGCGGACAGTAAGGTGCTGTATACTGTAGTTCTACGCCAGTATCTGCTAGAAAGGTTCGAAACGCTTTGCTAGTGAATTGGGTGCCATTATCGCACACCATTTTCTTCGGTGCCCCAAAGTGACTGAGCACGCGTTCATGAAAAGCTCGGATCAGTGTTGTTGAGGTTGCCTTCCGCAGGGGTATCAATTCGATCCATTTCGTGAACGAATCGAAGAAGACCAGCAACATAACGTTTCCTTGTTTGGAGCGGGGCAGCGGGCCTACGAAGTCTGCGCACAGTACCGCGAATGGTTCCTCGATCTGCCTCGTAAGCATCACGCCGGCTTGCCTTCGTTGGTCTGCCTTGAACTTTTGGCATAAGACACATTTTCGTACATATAACCCGACATCGCGGAACATACCCGGCCAGTAATATTTCTGAGAGATACGGAGAATGGTCTTCCGTACCCCTAAATGGCCTGCTGTAGGCGCGTCGTGGCATTCCTGTAAGATCCGTTGACGATGCTCGCCTGGCACACATAGTTTCCATGGTATGTAGTAGAGCCCTGCATGAATCATTCAATTTTTGTTGTATTATAGTATGATTTGTTTAATTCAATTCTATGTGAAATAAATTGAATGTTGTTCTAATTCATTTCGAATTGAATGAATTGAATGAATTATTTTATGAATTTTTTGAATTTTTCAGATTTTTTTTCTGTTTTCTTTTGAGAACAAAAAGTGGAAAATTTTTAACAAATCAATGTTAACTGCATAGTAAATAAATTTCAGGCAGATTTAATCACAAAATTATGGCCCTTTCTTCTTCAAAATAAATTGTCGTTTGAATTATTTCGGAATTCATGCCATTCATTCATTCAATTCTATTAAACTCAAAATTCAAATTCATTCAATTCTATTAAACTCCAAAATTCTAATTAATTCATTCATATAACAAAAAAAATTCAAAATAATTCATTGGATCCATTCATGCAGGGCTCTAGTATGTAGTCCTGGTCGTCGGGGCGATGTCCCAAGTGCCGGTACAGTTCCCCGTTCTCTACGACGTAATCGGGAACCTTTTGGGGGTTATCCTTGATCTCCTGTAGTTTACGTTGAATCCACTTGCACTGATGATTGTATGTCGTGATCCGCTGGAGTCTCTCTAACGGCTGTCGAGACAGAGCGTCGGCAACAACATTGTATTTCCCTTGGCTATTGGCTATTCTTCCCGTGGGGTTTTCTATATGGTCCATCCATTTAAGCGCTAAGTGATCGGTGATGACGTTGAAACGATAGCCTTCGAGGTAACACCTGAGCTTTCGAATTCCCAGACGATTGCCAAGCATTCCTTTTCCATAGGTGAGTAGTTAAGCTCGGCTGCGTCTAGTTTGCGGCTCACGTAGGCAATCACTCGTTCCTGTCCGTTGATTGTCTGGGTCAAAACTCCGCCAAGCCCGTAGTTACTAGCGTCGGCTTGAAGCGTCATCTTCTCAGTGAAGTCCGGGCATGCTAACACGGGTGCATTTGTCAGAAGCTCTTTAAGCTGGTCGAACGCAACTTTCTGTTCCTCTCCCCAGGTCCACTTCTGGTTCTTTCTCAGTAGGTTGGTCATTGGTTGAACCACTGATGCAAAGTCGGGGACAAATCTCCGGTACCAGGAGGCCATCCCTAAACAGCGTCGAAGTTCCCGGATGTTTTCCGGCGGGTTTAGATTTCGCACGGCGGCGACCTTCTCTGGGTCTGTGTGAATACCTTGATTACTAATGACATGTCCTAGATACGTCAGTTTTTGCTGAAAGAAAGGGCATTTTTCTTGGTTGATACGCAAGTTGGCTTCCCGGAGTCGTTTGAAGACCTGACAGAGATTAGTCATGTGATCTTCTAGACTAGCACCGATGACGATTATGTCGTCTAAATAGGCGAAAGCGTACGGCTCCATGTCCGGGCTAATCACACTGTCGAGGGCACGCTGAAACGTAGCGGGCGCGGAGTGTAAACCAAAAGGCATGACTCGCCACTGATAAAGTCCCCTCCCTGGGACTGTAAACGCGGTGCTTTCCCGGCTGTTAAGTGCCATAGGTATCTGCCAATACCCGTTGGTTAAATCTAACGTAGATATGAATGTCGCGTTTCTAAGTCTCTCACGAATGTGGTTAATTCTAGGCAAGGGGTATGCGTCGGGAATCGATCGGGCATTGAGCTGGCGGTAGTCTACGCACATGCGCCACTGCCCAGTCTTTTTCCGCACCAGTACCAACGGGGCGCTGTGCGGGCTGCGAGAAGGCTCTATACACCCTTGCTCCAGTAGTGCATCCACCTGTTGATTAATGATTGCCTGCATGGCAGGGTTTTTGGGAAAGTACCTTTGCTTACATGGCTTGTCATCTCGCATGGTGATTGTATGTTGAGCGATAGTCGATACGCCTGTCATCCCCTCGAATTTCTTGAGCTGTTCGTCAAGAAAGTGTTGTACCTGCTGCTCCTGCCCTTCGTCCAACGATCGCGGCTCCATTAATGTTTTCTGAGTATCCTTTGGCGTAGTTTTAACGTCGTCGCTTGGTTCCGCGACCTGCTGCGCGTCTGGTTTCTGCGGCGGTTCCGCCTCCGTGATCCGGATTGGTTGAGTCCGGGGGCTCAACGTAGTTTCTTCTTGTACTTGCTTTGCTTTGGGTTGCTGGGGCTCCTCTGTTCTTGCGGGTCCTGGTGGTTCGGATGGTTCCGATATGCGCGTGGGGGTTTGTTCTGCGTGTTCCTGGTGAATGACAGGCTTTCCTGATTCGTAACAGTGTTTTGGTCCGGGTATGCGTGAAGGGTCCTGGTCAGCGCATTTCTGGTCAGCGTTCTCCTGGTTTGCGATAGGTCCGTAAGGATGGCGCTCAATGGATTGTCCTCTCTTGTTGCAGCTCATGCTCCGTAATTCCACTGGGTTAAGTCTCGATGGAAGTCGCAGCTTTGCCGTCCCGCAGCGCATGGTCGTGCCGATACTACATAGAAAATCTAATCCTAAAATCAGAGGTTCCAGCATGGATGGCATGACGAGCAGCGGTACTTCGAGAAGGTCATGCACGAGTGTGATCCTGGCTATAAAAATCTTCGATACCTCAATCATCGAATTATCGGCAAGACTTATCTGGGTTCGCATTTCTTTGAATTGATGTCGTTCGCCGACTGCATCTGCAAATTCCTGACTTACGAAACTGCGTGACGCCCCGGTGTCTATTGTGGCCATCCTAGTCTGTCCTCCAATTCCTACAGTGGCCACTATCTTCCCGCCTTCGACTCTGAGTGGTGCGTTTACAGGGTGTTCCCTGTCTCGTCGGTCCCCGTCGTGTTCCGCACAACGCGAGGACTCGGTCCGTTTCCCGGCTGCGTTTTTCGACAGCAATCGATTGTACGAACTCCTTGTCGGCCACAATCCCAACAGAAATATCTTCGGCTATTTCTACACTCGCTGCTAAAATGTCCTTGTTCCCCGCAGTTGCCGCAGGCGTTTCTCACGTCAATTATTTGCGACGGCGTGATAATTCTATTCGATATAGGCGCGGCTGGTTGTCGAGGTCCTCGCTCTGCGTCTGAGTTCCCTGGCCGATTTGGAGGGGCCCGGGAGTTCCAAGAGTTTTCCTGGGGTACCACAGGTGAAGGGCGAGAGGTTGTGACTTGGAGTTTGCGGGAATTCTCCCGGCTTACGCTACGTTGCTTAACGGTTTCGAGTTCCGTGGCAAGTTGAGTCAGTTCTCCAATAGTTTGAAACTCGTGGCGGCGTATGTACATCTGGTACTCCGGTGCGGCGTTCTCGTAGAGCCTGTCGAGTTCCTGTTTCTCCGTGTAACCCGCATGTCTCATGAGTACGCAGAGATCCAGCGCAAAGTCCTTAAAACTTTCTCCATCCTGCTGGTCTCGCCCCCTAATTCTATCGTCGAGTCGTTGAAGGTATCGCGGAGGTAAAAAGAATTCTAAAAATTCCTTTCGGAAGGTTGCCCAGTCTGCCCCTTGTAAGCGGCAGGTCTGGATCCATTTATCCGCCCGGTCGGTCAAAAGCTCTGTCATTGCTCGAGGGAGTGTCCGTAATTCTATGCCGTAGGACACTGCGCGACTCTCAACCTGCTCGATGAAGGTTAAGGGGTCTGATCGGCCATCAAATTGAAGTCCCCACTTGCGAATTCTCT